ATGTTTGGTGGGATGGGGGATGCGAACCCGCGACCCTCAGTTTGCGAGTCGAGCGTCCTCACCACCTGGCCATGCCGGGCCCAGGTTGTTTAAGAGGAAACTGTAACAACAGGAATGTAGTATACAGATTAACATGCAAATTTTGTGTTTCTGAATACATCGGTGAAACATGCAAGACTATAAGGGATAGAATTAACAAACACCTTCGAGCTCTGTATACATTAAATAGCAAAGCCAGTGCTGTGGCTGAACATTTTATTGACAAACACTGTATAATTGATATTGATTGTCACCTATAACAGCAAACATTTTTACTTACTGTCACAGTGTTTTAGATAGGAAACGCAAAGAAGCTCCTCTGATTTGAGAGAATAAGCCTCAGTTTAAAAAATCACCTTGGAATTTTTAATTATTACTGTTTGTATTCAATTAGTATAATAACATATTTTATGTGTACTTTAAATAGTATAATTTTGCCTGTTTTCACGTACTTTCAATTTCACCATGTACAGCAATATAATTTTACAACAAATATATATATATATATATTCTTGAGTGAAGTCCACCTTATTATGCAGACTCGAATTATTTGTAAATCTTGTCTTGTTTGCTCCGATTGAGCAGTAGTGGCAAAACATTGGCTTAAATAAAACCAATTATGTTTTCTGGAGTAAAAGACCGTGATATATATATACATCTTTTTAACAATGAATACAACTCTCCAGTTTGCACTACAAACCTTAAACTCTTATAATGATAATATATTTATAAAACACGTCTCTAGACCGCATGAAATCAAGTAAAGTAAATAACATAAAATATTTGTATTCATGAAAAGTTTTCAGAAAAACTAGGTGAAGATATAAACGTTTGTTTTATTTTTAAGTTAAGAATAACTGAAATTTTGCTTGTATTAAACATGTTGTTTTATATTGGACCATACAGTTTTAAATTCTGTATTTACTTATCATTCTTGGTTCAGTAAGAAACTGTTAAAAGAAGTGAAAGTAACCGGCTGTGAACATTGTGTAGATTGTAAAGTATATTTACGATATATTCAAAACGCTGTCTAATCGGTTTTACTAAGAAGGAAGAGAGAGAAAAAATACAGGCACAAGTTTTCTTTAATGTACGGTTTGGGTGTAGTCTAATAGTTAGCGTGTCAGGGTACTGATCTGAGGGTTCATGGTTCGTGTTCTGTTACCGAGAAAAATTGTTCTCCGCATTGGGGCTGTGGATGCGTCATAAAAGTGGCTGTCAAGTCCCACTATTCGATTAGAGTAGCCCAAGTGCTAGTTGAGAGTGATATTAACTACCTGCCTTCCCACTAGTCTATCATTTAAAAATTAGGTACGGCCAACACTGATAGCCCTCGTACAGCTTTTTGCATGGTGCAATTTGGTTTCTAATTGATAACAACGTTTTTCATCTGCATTACTTAATACTGTAACCTAGATCAGAATCCCTTACTACTTCTAACCAGACAATGAACAAACATCTTTTGATCTCACACACGCTATTAAGTGTTACTGGAATAAAAGATAAATTTTTCATTGTTCTTTGATGGCAGATTTATTTTTCTATATCGTCTTCAGATGTCTGCAAATTATTTAGGGAGTTAATAAATATTAAGTTCTTTTTTTAAGAGTTGCCTATTCTTGTAGTTGCTTCTTTAGTTTTAAGTATATTTTTTGTGTTTCTTGATAAGTTTTTCTTAATGTTTCTGGTTTAAAGTACCTCTGACTTATTTCACAAAACCATGCAAGGGTTGGGCTACTCTTTTACCAACGAATAGTGGGATTGACCGTCACATTATAACGCCCCCACGGCTGAAAGGACGAACATGTTTGGTGTGACAGGGATTCGAACCCGCGACCCTCAGATTGCGAGTCGAGCGTCCTAACCACCTGGCCATGCCGGGCCATATATGTGTATTGTTTTAACATATTTTATCTTCAAAGTTTAGCGTTTTTCCATGGATTCCACATCTTCTACTCTTTTTTTACTCTTTCAAAAAGAGCAACATGGACAATACACAGTCTAGAGATCCTTATAAACATCGTAACATAAGCTACGGAAAGTTCATCGACTGATATCGGACGAAAACACTCACAGCAAAAACAGTAAAGTGGCTGTTTTTCTACTATAACACAGATTTCCAGATTTCTAAACATATAAAAGAAAACAATTTCTTTGATTCAAAGGTAAACAACCGCAAAAGATACTTTTCTTTTTTGGTTAGGTTCATCTGCTTCTTAAGAGAACAAAAATACGGTTTTTGCTCAAAACCTTATTAAATTCTTACATGGTTGGTATTATTTGTTCATGGTTGGTGTAATTTTGAATGAAATCTTAGAACAAAGACAACAACTTAGCCAGTGAATAAAGTCATTGTTTATTTATGTTAACTGGGTAGCGGTTTCCAAACTGTGGGTCGCGACCCTACATGGGGTCGCAAGAAAACGGTTACAATTAGGCATAATTTGGTTCTGGATTAAAGCGATTTGAAAATCACACTGTGAGTGTGTTGGTTGCTATGTTGTTTTGAGAGCTGTCTGGGGTTGCATAAATATTTATCTCAAAATGAGATCACATGAAGAAAAGGTTTGTAAAACGCTTTGCTAACGCATGTCATTAATTTAAACATGCTAAGACACGTATATATATATATATAATCGAATTGTAAACAAGAAATATTACAAAGTGCTGGACCACAGTTAATAAAGGTCTTCTGGCTTAAATTGTCCTTCTCTGAAAATATATTATATATGAGGATTAATCATGCATCCCAATTACATCACTCTTTGAGATTTGAAAAGTTTAATTTAAACATCTTCATACGGGTAATTGAAGACAATATGTTTTATTAACAAATTACAAATCCACGATCTGTAATTCTCACACACATACATAAGAGCATAATAATGTTACACAGCTTTTATCTCACGTGATATAAACTTCTTTTCTGTGGCAACCCACATATAAATATCTTGGAATGATAAAACTTAACGGGATATTTCAAAATAAGCTAAAGAAAACTAGTTCTTTAAATACTAATAACTCTCAAACTACCAACCTGCGTCACAATACTCAATGTAAAGAACTTTTCATAGCGGGACCCAGCAGTAATTAGTGGAATTAATCGCAATATTAGTGGTACTTTTTATGTTTATGGGAATCAGATGGAATCACAAGCGATGGAATCACAAATAGTTTGGATAAATGTGTTAAAGAGCGGGTGCTAATCCTAGGATTAAAGGGAAATTAAAACATTTACACTTTCCAAATCAAGAGCGCCTGGTGTTCCTAAAAGGAAGTGAAGAGTTTTTTTTCTCATCCTTAAAGTTAACAGACGTTAACTGTTTTTGAAAGTAAATTATGAGAAATTAACAACTCCATGAATATACAAGACATTTATTCGTCCTTAAAAACCAATAGCTCTTCAACAAAGGGAGTTTAAGAAGGCAACAGCAACTCCTCTCCAAGTAATGTTGACTTCATTTTCAATGATATTCATGGGCATCAACTATTCCTAAATGAAAGTTAAAAACGTTATCTTAAGAAAAATCATGTTCGTTATCTGCTTCTTAATTTACTTCTTAAATGATGTAAATCCCGAAATAAAACGTATTTCATAAAATAATGTAGAGTAGTTAAAGAACATTACTAAATGAAAGTTAGTGTGGGCCTTAAAGGGCGTAAAAAGTTATTCGAAAGCGTTTCAGTGATTCCATTTTCTAGATGGGTATAAACTACTTAAATATTAATGGTACTACTATATGGTTAGGCTTGGCGTGATCTGGTAGTTAAGGCGCTCGACTCCCAGTCTGAGGGTCGCGAGTTCGAATCCGAACACGCTCGTCTGCTATGGTTGGTGACTGGTATAAAACGCTCTGACCGATCCCTAATTCGCTAGGAGTAAGGTCGAAATGAAAAAAAAAACATTATATGGTTATTTCTTAAAAGAGAATAAATACTCTTTAGATAATTCTAACAGCTTACTAAATAGTTAAATGATATTTACTGTTTTAGTCACATTTACTGAAGATACATTTCTCATAAGAATCATTATCATGCACCTTAAACACGCATTGTCATTATTGAAAATACAAAAATCTGCAAACGAGTAGTTCTCAATTTCACAGGTATTATTTAATGAAAACAAAATGAAAAAATATTAACCATACACATTGAAATTAATAAGGTATGTGCTTTTTCTCATTAGAAAAAACTAAAGTAGCAACATAAACCGCCATGTTGTTGACTCAACATGTATGGTAACTGTGACGCACGTGTGCATCTAAAAAAACACCCACCTTGATATGTCTTTCAGGCTGTAGAAAGCGTTATCTTGAAGACTTATTTTAATATCCACTGATTTAGATAGATGATATTTTGAAACAATTGATGTATAATTTCTCTGGAGAATTACACTCAAAAGTGGTTGTGTACACAGATATTAATTTTACTTCACTGCGACCATATTCTTTATGGGTTCCGCATAAGTGATGTGGGCGAACTGAAGACGTCACAGTCTAGCTCTGTTCTCCAGTTCTGTGTCTTTACTGAGGCTGGCAACACAGAAAAATAAAATTAGCAGCGCAAGAATCCCTGGCAAGCGTATGCCGGAACTGTAACTCATGCGGGATGAGATCAGCCTCATACCACTGCAGCTTTTCACATGGACAGCAAGGCACTATCATTTCCACCTTATGAAGCTCAATTTGTTGATACGTTGGTCACCTCTCGTGTCGATATCAGTTTCATGTGATACGATATTGCAGTCGTTTCTTTCTGCTTATTATAACTGTACATTTGTAAAAGAAGAAACAGCTTAGAGGCAGTTAGTGACGTCATATCTTCACCAAGGTCGAGGATATAGTTCCAGCTAAACCCGCTGTATTCTTCGCCACACCATTTGAAGACCATCCGAATAAAAGTGCAGAAAGTAATTTTACTTTGTACTTTACTCAAAACTGTATCTCTCACAGTTGTGGTTATTAGTGTTAATATCTGAACACATTCATTACTGAAGCTTGATAACTCTTTATAACTTCGATTATCAACCATATTACAGTATTCGTTTGTAACTACACCATACTGTGGTAATTATGAAATCTAAGGGCTTATTTACTTAGCAATTTGGTTAATTTGTTTAATTAAGAACATAATAAAAATTTACAAGATATGTGTTTTGTTTTAATTTAATAAAGCCTTATAACATAACACTGAAACAATACTCAGGGGGAAGAAATATCGTCGACAAAAGGCTATTATGAAACCATCGTATACGTCTCTGAACAGTCATGTAAACCTTGGTTGAGCCTAGTTTGATACATGGTTTGAAAAACTAATGACTAAAATGTTTTGCTAGACTAATGGCTAAGGGTTATTCCAGTTAAAGCTTATACCACCAAGAAAGATTGCGATAATAAAAAAGCGTAACTGATGAAATGTTTAGTTTCCAAAAACATAATATAATGGTATAGATATAAAAAAATCGTCTATCTAGCTCTTTCTTTCCTCATCCGAAGAATTATATTTTCTTCCAGGAAGAACCAATATATACTAGCTAAGTAAAGCCCGTAGAGTAAGGCTGCCAAGTGGAAAGCACGTGATAAACACATCCTCTAGTTGAAAATATTCCATTAAAACTTATTCAAACAGCTGCGTAAGATATCCTCTGCAATTAATTTATCTCAATTGTTAAAATTAAAAGTTAAATTATTTATCTATATATTACTTATCTTCTTATCTATCTTCCTGTTTATCTATCTGTCACTCCACATAACTGAATATCAATCTCTCCGGTTTAATAACATTGCACATAGAAGTTTGCTGCTACCAGAGCATAGAAAAAACGTTCTGGAAACTGAAGTGACTTTAAAAGATATGTAAAAATTTACACGTGAGCAACAAAAGAGGCTAGGTAGTGATGGGATTATGGCTATTTTATTTATTTTGAAATTAATTTGGAAAGAGTTTGTTGGCTAGGTAGTGATGGGATCGTGGCTATTTTATTAATTTTGAAATTGATTTGGAAAGAGTTTGTTGGCTAAGTAGGATGGGATCATGGCTATTTTATTTATTTTGAAATCTATTTGGAAAGAGTTTGTTTCCTATCACAAGCCGAGAGCCTATATGCACTGAAAGAATTATAGTTTTCTTCTCACACATATGCATTATATGCAAGAATTTTAGTAACAAGAAACATAGTATTTTTCTGTTTGTTTGTTGGAAAAAACAATAAATCACGTTATTTTATCTACATAATATTTGATATATAGTTTATGGCCCGTATCTTATTACACACGTTCAGCAGTAAATGGTTCTCACTGGTAAAAGTAAAATGATCAGTACAGGGCAGCATGAAAAAAAAAAAGAAATACTTGAAAAAGTGAAATATATTTCTTGAGTCATAAAAGGACAGAAACTTACATAGCTTTAATACACCAACATATTTTGTAGAAACCATAGCATGTTTGAATTACAAAGCTCAAAACATTTACATTTAGAAAAGCTATACTATTATTTTCATTTAAATAAAATTTTTCTTTCGTGATAAGAACAATTGCAATAGTTTTATGTAACACCAACATTCATTACTTATTTGTTAAGCCTAATATGCATGAGCTATCCAGCACTCGATGATTGACAGGGTCATCATTAAATATGAATTGTGTCAGCGTGTCTTCTGAAAGATACGAGATATGAACAGCTACACCATCAGGAATGTTAAGGTCAAGGACGTTAGGGCCAAATCGAGTCTGAATATTTAGAGTACTGGTTGCTACTACCACAGATTAACGCAAAAAGTAAAATTAAACTATTTAACCTACAACGGCCTGAAACGTAATTGGTCCCTATTTCGGCTTCCAAAATTCTATGAATTTTATGCATTACAAAACTGAACATTAATCATCGACTTGGAGTGTCTCAGCGATACTTCTTAATATTGAGTTTTAAACCTTGTTGTATCTAATTAACCACCAATGATTGTTTTAATACTGTTAACAATAATATCTAGATAACAAAACACAGACCAGATTACATTCAAATTGAGAATCTTTTAGCTTTGTTAATTTCTCTTAACATATTTCGGATGGGTTACGAGTTTACTCGTGTTTCATGCTGAGTGTCTTTGTGTGCCATGTATTTAAACGTTGAGTTTGAAAGGAGTCGGATGCGTATTATTTTGTTCATAACTCAATTATATTTTTTATCATTTATTTGAAACTTACAGAGTATGTACATGAAGACACCTAGTCAATTTTAAAAGTGTGGTATCTTGTAAAACATTTTCCTATATGGAGTGGAACCGCACAAAACTTGCACATGTATCGTGTCTCACTTCTATTCCCATAGGCAGTACAAACTTTGCAGGCTCTGGTAGGAAATTTTATTTTTTCCTGTAGGTGAAATGATCATAGGAATATGTTGCTTTATGCCACCAGATAGTCTTCCTGGGGGATCCTTATGTGGTGCTCTCCTTGTACCTTCAGAAGATGGACTGGGTTCGTTTCTCTCTAGTTCCAGTGAGCTTTTTTTCTCTTTGTCAGTAATCCACTCTCTTGCCACAGAGAGGAGGCACTGCTTATATATATATATATTTTCAGTTGATTCAGAACTTTGCAGATTATATATGAATTGAAAAGGCCACAATTTATTAGATAAAGTACTACCTTTTTGTCCATTTCACTGTTTATCTGAGAATGTTGTAGTATGATTTGCAAGATCAACACCTTTCATGTGGGCATTGTATTAGAGAACAAACATAGGTTTTTTATTTCTTCTCCAGTTATTCAATTTTTTATTCCTGTGATAGAAACAGATGAGTCATGGATGGTTGAAACCATTCTTTCTTCTCTTTTGTTTTTCTATATAAAAATGAGAACATCACCTTTTTTACGGAAAGATGTTTCACCTTTATTCATTGTTGAAACTTTAGGCTTGGCGGCAACCCTCTATTCACTCTGATTGTTCCACAGACTCTTTTTTCATGTTCCAGGAACAGGTTTGCAATGGAAGTACTGTTGTAATAATTGTCCTGGTATACGTGGTGCCACAATCCAAGATTGGGAGCAAGAACTGAATAAATAGTCTCCTCCAATTTCTTCCCCTCACCAGTATAAATCTCCATGTTGCAAGTATAACCTGTGTCACTCTCACACACCATTCTCACCAGCAGGCCATATTTTACAATTTTTGCAGGGTTGTATGTTCGAAATCTTAGACGTCCTCTCCATGGAATCACGCCCTCATCCAATGTCAACTGTTGCTTTGGTTTGTATACTGTCCTGAATTTAATGAGGAAATAATCCAGTACTGGTTGAATTTTGAAAAGCCTGCCTGAAGACTTATCCATTTTCTGATTATCATTGAAATGCCAAAATGTCCAAATTTGTTGAAATCTGTTTCGGCTCATTGTCTGCGAAAATATTGGGCTCATCAAAAATATGATCTGTTGACCAACAGTCTTTCCAGTTATATTTCCTTGTCTGTCCCATCAGTAGAATAAGGCCTAAGATTTTCCCCATGTGTGTAGATGTAACTTCAGACCATTGAAGTCCTTTAGATGACACTTTATGTTTCTCTGCAGTTTGATTATGGTAGGTACACATTTCCTGACAAAACGTTTCAAACAAGTCATCACCAAACATTAGACTTGTCACGGCAGCAATACTTTCAGGTTCAGATGGAGTTATAGTGGCCCCTAGAATTCCTTCAAACATTTCCAAATTCGGTGGAATATCTATTTCTGACCAATTATCGTTATCATAACGGGAAAACAAATCATTAACAGGAACATTTGTAGAATCATCATCACTTTCTGATTCAGAATCAGTTGAGAGCACAATAACTTTACGTATCTTTGTAGGCTTAACAACGTCACTGTATCTAGAGTCACTGTCAGAATGATCCACAAACACATCCACATCAGAATCTTCACCTTCACTTGGAAGATCTGACTAGTTATCATCAAGTAGTTCAGTAATCATCTCATCTTCACTCAACACGTTACGTTTTCTGCGAAAAGCCATTTATAAAAATATGGGTATTGTAAGGAAAAATCAGAAAAATAATAACCGACCGGAACAAACTAAAACTTGTCCGACTCCTTTCGAACGCAACATTTTAATAAATGATACAGATAAACGCCCTGTACGACACACGAGTAAACTCGTGACCCGTCTGCGATGTGTTAATAAAATAGTAGAACAACAAGAGAAATCGGAGCTGACACTCAATAAAAAAAAATAAAAAAATGAGGCAAAACTTAAGAATCAACTGTTACCATTTAAAATAGAAACAACCAAACGTTCAGGTAAATTTATTTCACTGACCCAACTTAAGAGAGTTCAACAATTATTTTCCAAATGTAGTCGAAAGGAATTATAATAGCGTTCATTTTCAAAATAAATTACATTTTATTTTGTTTGTAGTTAAGCACAAAGCTGCACAAAGGGCTATCTGTGCTCTGCCCACCACGGGTATCGAAAGCCGGTTTCCAGCGTTATAAGTCTGCAGTCATGCCGCTGTGCCACTGGAGAGGAGGGGGGCAAAGTAAATTAAAGAATTAGTTCCGTTTAGCTTCAGCTGATTACTTGACATTATATAACATATTTAGCTTCAGCTAATTACTTGACATTACATACCATATTTAGCTTCAGCTAATTACTTGACATTATATAACATATTTAGCTTCAGCTGATTACTTGAGATTATTTCACATAACAGTATCTGCCAAACTTTTACCCTCCAAGGCACATTTGGAACTACTAAAAAAAATGCACCACACTGCTACCTACCACTAACTGCGGCGTCTCATAACAAAGTGAGAATAAGGTCACACAGACACACAAACATCTGAAAAGCAGACAGTGGTAAATAAAATGGCTGGCGATTGTACTTTTCACTGTATCATCATATGGAGATTTATATTCTAATTATTTATTTTTTAAAACGGCTATAGAAATTATAATTAATAGTTTGTATTAAATAAACAGAAAGTGTACAGAAAACATTACTTGTGAAGTAAATTTTACTTAAAGATCTTTTTATACAAAAATATATCTAAACACTTTAAATCGGATTTGTTTATGGTCAGTTTAACTGATTTTATAGAACACTGACATTGAAAAACTTTATATCATCATGAACTTCACACTACAGTGAACGAAAAGAATATATAAGAAAAGAGAGAGAGGAAAAAAAAAAAACTTCACCAAATTGTTGGAGTCCAGATTCGTACATGGAATCTTCTTTAGTGAAATGTAAACTCGGTGATAACACAAGGTATAGTTGATACAAATCGTTGTCATGGTTTGTAGCCTATAAGGTCACCTAAGCCTAGTCATTAATTAATTACTGATATCTTTGTTAATTACTACATTCTAATTACCAGTTAGTTTTGATCCTACGTTTCAGCAGCTACCTTGATGCTTTCTTCTGCAGAAGTCCGCTTATCAAGGCACATCTCGGAAGTATTAAAAAATGCGTCACACCACCACACATCACTGAATGTAGCGCCTCATAGCGAAATTAGAATAAGGCCATAAGGATACACAATGATCCGACAGGTTGATAATGGTAAATAAAATGGGGATCGTATAGGCCACCAACCGTGGCAAGGTTTGTTAATAACAAGAACACTCAGTAGAGATCACTTAGGTGATCGTATAGGCCAACCGTGATAATGTTTGATAATAACCACACCACTCAGAAGAGTTCACTTAGGTGATCGTATAGGCCATTAACCATGACAAGGTTTGGTAATAGCCAGAACACTTAGCAGAGTTCACTTAGGTGATCGTATTAGCCACTAATCGTGGCAAGGTTTGTTAATAACAAAATAACTCAGCAGAGTTCGCTTAGGTGATCGTATAGGCCATTAACCATGATAACGTTTGGTAATAACCAGACCACTGAGCAGTTCAAATGCAAATAAAGAATTACTTTATGCCTACTAACATCCATCACATTTGTATTTTATTTAAAACAATTACTGTCGCTCACAAACCCGGCCTAGATTTATTGATAGTTTTTGTAATTGGTCTAGTTAAATTGCGTTTTTAAAAAATCCGATATAAGCTTCAAGTTTTACCTCAACTAAAAGAAGTATTCATCCTCAACCATATCAAAGCTGTACTATATCGATTCTTTTATTTTATACTGGAACAGTCTTAAGTCTATTTCTACATTAAAGTTAGAGCATGTATATATTTTTTCCAACAGTATTGGACAATTCAAATAAACACGTAGCAAAATCGCTTGTGTGAAAACTGAGAAGCAAGTACTCGCAGCAAAGTCTTTGTTTGTTTCAAAAGTGCAATAGCAGCAAGTTTTACAGTATGGAAATTTTTTGTTTGTTTGTTTCAGATCTTCACACATGCCAATAAAAGAGCTGTATGCACATATAGCCTCCTTAATATTTACCGTCAATGTTACAATGCACCCATAACCTAAAGCGCGAAATGAGTTTTATCGGCGACGGGACGCGAACATAACTTTTCAGATCCTCACTCTAGGGACCCTAACCACAACTCCACGCTCGGCTAGAGCAGCAACTCCTATATTAACTTTACAAACGCATATAAATTTTGTGAACCATCAATTTAGTCTCCTAGTGTTAGAAGTAGATACACTCAAAACATGAGACCCTACAGTGTTACTAGAACCAGAGACTAAAAACATTCTTGGATACACTCAAAACATGAGACCCTACAGTGCTACTAGAACGAGAGACTAAAAACATTCTTGGATACACTCAAAACATGAGACCCTACAGTGCTACTAGAACGAGAGACTAAAAACATTCTTGGATACACTCAAAACATGAGACCCTACAGTGTTACTAGAACGAGAGACTAAAAACATTCTTGGATACACTCAAACATGAGACCCTACAGTGTTACTAGAACGAGATACTAAAAACATTCTTGGATACACTCAAACATGAGACCCTACAGTGCTACTAGAACGAAAGACTAAAAACATTCTTGGGTACACTCAAAACATGAGACCCTACAGTGTTACTAGAACGAGAGACTAAAAACATTCTTGGATACACTCAAAACATGAGACCCTACAGTGTTAGTAGAACGAGAGACTAAAAACATTCTTGGATACACTCAAAACATGAGACCCTACAGTGTTAGTAGAACGAGAGACTAAAAACCTTGTGTTAGAAGTAGATACACTCAAAACATGAGACTCTACAGTGTTACTAGAACGAGAGACTAAAAACATTCTTGGATATCAGTCATTTTATGAGCAAAATTAAAATGTGAGGTAAACAAAGCGGGGCGAGTAGTTCGATCAAAACTCATTGAAAGGAACCGTAAACATAATATTCCCCGTGGGCTAAACACAAGGCCACACCCAGAGAACTTGCAACAAGTACATACAACAACGGTAACAAAATATTTATCCATGAGAAATTTCTACTATGAATAAATTTGTTAAATAAGTTGGTACATTAAAAACAACTGATAAAATCGATTTCTTGTGATTTCAGGGGCTTTTGTATATTTGTGGACTCATTTTTTTTCATCCCTACATTTTCCAAGATGCACATTCCACAAACATTTTTTTTTTGCTAAGACTTCCACTTACGTCTGTTCACTTGTAAAAATTTTAAAAAAATCAGTACTTTACTCATGCTATTTTTTATTTTCTTGTAATACGCATACTTCTAAAAAATAAAACATGCAAGATGAAATGTTGGTAAAGAACGTTTGTTTTAACCCAACACTTACACCGTTTCCTTGCATCATCTGCATGTTACTAGACAGCTTGACACCATAAAGTTGCATTGTATCACACTTCCACGTGATGTTATTGAGAGCACTACCCGTCTGAACTGAAGGACGTTAAAGCTTGGAAGTCATTTTGTTTTTAATTTGGCACTAAAATCGTATCAAATTAACACATTAAATAACGAGTAGTTACAGCATCTCGTACTTCGAAGTTGCATGAAATAAAATACAAAGTATTTCTTATTAGCTTGTTCTTGAATTAGAAAGTATATTTATTCTGAGGTGCGTGAGGAATTAGAAGAATCCAATTGTAAGGAGAAATTACAAATTACGATTGCGTTTTTTTGAGCTTTACTCACAAAATTTCCCAAACAGACATTATGAAAAGAGCACGCTGTTGGTAATTTTATCAGTTAACTAATTATTACATTCCAAACAGTTAATTATCTGAAGTGCTGGTATGCTGTATTTTCGCGCCATTCGTTGTCAACCCTGTTTTACCTTGTGCCCTCCACACCACGTGAAAAAGCTCATGTTACGTTTGAAGAGATCTCCAGCTGTGAGGAATGCGATTAAAAGATACTTTAGGCAAACAGTAATGCCAAAG